CGACATGTCTCGGACCGCATCCGTGAACATAAGCTGACCTGAAACACGGTAGGACAAACACCTCAGCCGTGGCAGATCACTGTTACAATTCAGTGGGTTCACATGACATTGACTTCTCCAAGACAGAGGTTCTCTGCAAGCCATCTGGCTACCATGAGAGATTCGTTCATGAGGCGATCCACATATACAAACACAGAGACAATTTCAACCGAGAAGATGGATTCTGCCTCAGCAATCATTGGAAGGACGTAATAAACCACTTCGGATCTTAACTGATTGTTGTTCACGTTTATGGTGACTTTCAGACCGCAGTCCACTCACTGGCATTAACTGTGTATCTTGTGTTCTCCACAGGGAATGCATTATTTGCTCCGCTGCGGATCTCCTGCCACCGTTTTCCCATTCACATGTTTCATTGCTTCTACATACTATTAACATGCCCTCCCTTTGTTAATGCTACCCCCCCCTTCCCTTTGGTGCTGCTGATCCTGCATAATGCATGGGCATAATATGATTTTGAAACCCCCCCGCCCACCTCCTACGCATTTCCCATGAATATGCTAAATTCCTCTTGATATGCACATTATTTTGTTAAGGCTCTCTTCTTCTTCCACCTCCAACTCAGCTTATATATAAGCTCCTAGCTTGGCAGTGTCTCATTCTTCACCTGAAGACGGCTGCTTGCGTTGTAGCCGAAACGTCGTGAGAATTATTTGATTTTATTATGTTTTATTTTTATTATTTTATTACTTCCCTTCTACGTGACTTCACCGAAAGAACCAAGAAGATGAATCCCTGCAGTCACGAAAGCTTTAAATCGAAACCTGCGGTATATTTGGAGTTTGCGTTCTCTTTTCCCGTGGTCACGTGGATATTTCTCTGTGTCCTCCAGTTTTCCGTCCAAATTTAGAATCAACTTGCGTTCAAGAGCATTTGGTTGCTGTAAATTTCCACACGATAAGCCACTTTGCTTAGCTATCATTTGTGGCCAGGTCGCTTCTGAAGAGTGCTAGACAACTCAGTGGTCCTTACCTGGTAAAATAAAAATTAGTAGTAAACTGGGTGGTGGATTAGCCACTGGCGGGCTCGAAGGTTCCACAGCGGCAGCGATGGAGGCAATTTGTCAATTTGTCCCCCCACGTGGCTGGTCATGTTCTGCGCGGCACAAGCGCCGACCCAGTCGCGGGTCCACACTGCCCTTTGCCCGTCGTGTGAAGGCAGAGGATCCAGTCTCGAATTGCGTTGAGTTTGTAACAAAAGTGGGTGGAGTTAGAATTTGTACCGAGTGCTGCTGTCATGCTGGAGTTTGAGATGTGTGTGTGTAATGCCACAAGGGATGCTGCTACTGTGTGTGGGGTTTTTTTTATGAGTTTGCTGCAGGAATCTTCTCTTCGCTTAGCACACGTCTGCCTGGTTGGATATGGGTCCTGATAACTAGGACCCCTATCTTACAGACAGAGTCTTTGCCTATAAACATTTGGCAGTTAATCAGCCTTGATTCAAGCAAGCCTGACTTGCAGTTGAGACACCGAATGTTGAAGCTGGTCCAGAGTTTGCTTGTCTTGAACCAATACTGCTGAATTGTGCACTCCTAGAAGGCTGTGAATTTTTTTGGCCATGGATTTGAGTGAAAATTGTTTTGCTCGACTTCTAATGAGCAATGATTCATCTTCAGCCTTTGTAAATCCACTGTCTCACTGCTCTTGCTATGAGTAGGACGACTTGGTTATCTAGTTCTGGAGGAACTTCATAATATTATTTTCACCTTGAGTTAAGCCTCACTGAGTGTGAAAACTTGTTCAGGAGGGTTGTGCCACGTTATTGCAGGAGGGGGCAATGTTTGTTCCGTGGAATCCCAATTGAGAAATTGAGAATTCCCAGCTCCCGTCTGTGTGTGTTTAGCTGTGGAAGGGGACCAGAGAACCCAGAACTCAGAGTCGGGAATCTAACTCTGCTCGTCCTGTGAGGCGTTGTGCATCACCGTCGCTCCACCACCCGTCTGCCCTAGATAGTCACGAGTCGGCAAGATCTCTCGGCGATGGAAGAGAATGTTACGCTGTCCGAGTAGACTACGGAAGAGTCCTATATTCATGGACATTTATTGTGTGAATAAGATCAACTCGCAGTTTTGAAGACTACAATTGCGACGTTTGTTTTGTGTATTTCCCATTGTGCGGTGAGCAAAAAAGTGCGTTTGTTTAACACGTAGGCTCTCGCGACCAATGAGGCTCATTTTAATTCCCGGTGAAACGTCGCAGTACTCGAATTGTACACTCTCCAAACACGCCGGTGTGCTGAAGTAACTAATCGGTATGTTCTGTTTACGTGACAAACCTTACTAATTGGCTGTGTCGGGTGGTGGCGGGTTTAACGACACATTATATTTAGTCGATCTAACCCAAAAAACTATATTATGAAAAAAATTATTGGGTCAAATATTTTTTAAATAGAATAGCTGTTTCCCCTTTTTTCTCGCAACAAAACTGAAACCTTTTTTTACAAGGAATCATGTCTGCATTAACCACAATACTTGTGGTCAGAATGCAAACAAAAGACACTCTGATAATATATGCATTGTCCTTGAAACTGATTGGTCCACACCAGAGATAGTTTTTCTTTTAGCCTCATCTTAAACGGTGTTAGACCAGAGGACGCCAAAAGGCATAAGATTGTTCTTTTTACACTAAAGTGGTTTTCTTTTTCATTTATCGCTTGGAAATGTCACAAATACGTGTCCGCCAGTCACTGTAGGCCGTGCTTTCTCTGTGCAGCCAGCGACCCAGAGAGATCCCTTCCCTGTGACCCTGGCCACCCAGGCGCTAAATGGCCACGTCGCCCGCCTCCTGTTATTTATACAACAGGTAGCTAGCGTCCTGTTCTCGGTGACGCGTGCGCGCGTGTGTGTGTGTGTGCGCGTGTGTGTTGGCGTGAGCCCAGTGGCAGCGGTGTTACGTGGCCTCTGCACAAAGCCGGATATCGCGGTCATGTTATTTATTATTTTTGTTTTGGCTATCGCCATCGAACAAAGACTATCACCGCATCGCACGCTTAGTGCTGCGCTCTTCCAATATTAGGAAGCCAATGGAGCTATTGAAAATATATTTTTTTAGGATTGTTTAGTTTGTCCGTTTCTCGCACCTCCGATTCGCACGGTTGGCTACGTGCGGTGCGAAAGAAATTCAACATACGTACGAAGTCAGCGGCACACCCTTGCCAGCTACCCCTCGGTGTGCACCAGGGTAAGATTGTGTGGTGTGAAACCAGTATCTCGGTGGGCATTTGGAGCGTGCTGTACGTCTACGGTGCCTGCAGCGCAACATCTGGAATGCCCGTGAATGCTGTCATGTGAATGTTGTTGTTTGTTGTCGTCTGGGCAGCAGTGGCACAGCGGTTAGCGTGCGACCCAAGTTGCACGGCCAGTAACAAGTTTCCGAGCCGGCCCTCGACCTCCTGTTGGTCGACTCAGCCTTAAAAGGGAGACAGAGTGGCCGGTGCTGGTCGTGCAACCTCTCTGTGCGCCGTGTTTGCCTTTGTAGGTACAGGGGAGTCCGCCGATATACGTCGGGGTTAGGGACCTGGAAGTTGTGACTTATAACGAAGCGATAAATAACGCGGGATTTTCCTCCCATAAGAATGATGGGAAACACTGCCCCTGCGACGCAAAGCGGGGCAGTGTCTCCCATAAGAAACAATGGAATTAGGTAGGGGTAGGGATAGGGACCATAACTTAGGGAATGTTGTGTTTCATACCTCGCAACCACAATATTATTGTACATGTACAGAAAACCTGCACTATAATGTACAACACAATGTAAACGTTTATAACCAGGTTCAAGAACCTTTAAACAGCATTTATACCTATCAAACATTCCACTGAAAACAATTTTTATGAGTATTTAGAAGAATCCCTGTACACTTTAAAAGTTTTCCTTTTTTTAATGCGACACGTATTTGTGACATTTCCAAGCTATGAATGAAAAAGAAAACCATTTTAGTGTAAAAAGCGCAAGCTCAAGCGGCATTTAAAAAATATTTTACCTTAGCCTATCATTTTTACGATCTTATCTTGCGGAGTGGATGAGTTGTGCTTGCTTTGGAGGTGTTGGGAAGGGGATTAAACACCTGTCTGGAAACGTTTCTGCAGCGTCTACTTCAGCACTGGCCGACTTTCCTCTTATGTTTACGTTCTTTAAACTTTATCGTGCCTGAAATCTGTAGAACCGTCAACGCGCGACCTTGAATGGTTTCTCTTTCGCTGCCTCCTTCCTCTCCCAACTCGATTTTCAGGCTTAGGGCCTTCTCCTGAATGAGATGCTAAGCTGATCGGCGTGTTCTTCTTGTGCAGATCCTCGATCCGTAAAGGCCAGGAAATCGTTCCACTTTTTCCGTGACCACACTTCGTGCTTGAAAGCACGCTTGGCTTTAATTTACAATTCATCAGCGTTCTTCACTGTCATACGCACACTCAAATTGCGCCCAATATCAGCCGCGCGTTCACGTTCTCTCCTTCACTTTCTCACTTTCATTTTAACATGGAGCGTGATACTACCGCGCTTTTTCTTACGCTCACCACCTGCACCGTCACTAAGCACGACGCTTGCTACTCATTGTTGAAGGGTTGCGACGATTTTCTGCGATGACGTCGACAAGCCGATTACAATGAGCACTCGCTACGCAGCATGTGAGAGAGGACACGATGGGACTGAGAAGGTGGCGGCGCATGCGACAAAGAGGAGTTGCACAGTCCGGCTGAACCGAGTCGAAAACGCCGTAACGACGTGTGAGTGCGGGGGACATTTTACGTTGGGTTCCTCAAAAAGTCAGCGACGTGAGTGCGAAACAACGTCGATAAACAACGTCTATAAACAATGTCTATATATCGAGGCGACGTACATCGGGAGGGACCCCTCCCCCTGGACTTAGAAATGGAACTTACTCTCAACAGTCCGTTAAGGCCTTTAATGGAGGATCATAGTCTTTGTTTTTGTGTTGCACCGCAGGTTCGTGTCGAGGGGATTCCTTTTCAAGCCGCCCGGCTGTGCTGTTCCCCGTGGTGTCGCGGGTATGTACAGGAGTCGCATGCGGTCTCCTCCGTTGCCCTGCTTACACGAGTCACAGAATCCACAGGTCCCAGAACTTTTCTGTTATTTCATGGAGAGCATAATTTAGTAGGTTCACTGTTGGCGCCGTTGTTATGGCGCAAGGCTACCACCACAAGGGCTGTGTTGCACGCAGGCCTCTGCGGAAGTTTTGCAACACGGGGCGATTTACGCGTCATCCCAATTGAGTCATTTGCGGGCCATTTTTCGAATTTGGCAAATTTGGGCCGCGATGCCCGGCATCTGTAACGTCCAGTTGGAAGCAGACGGCTCGTACGTAGTATCTTACAGTTGATGCGCAACCGCATCCATGACGGGGTCGGCTGCCAGATTCGGACCGCGAGCCTTCGCAACGCAAGCGGCAAACGCACGAGCACCGGGCTGCGTGGCAGCAATAACAATGTCCGTCTCCCCTCCACTCTGCTTTACCCACCAATATTTTACCCTGCTCTACATACAATGCCTGCGCGAGTCGTACCGTGTGAGTGTTGTGCGTGTACACCCTGTGTGTACACTGCGTGCCGTGATGGTGAAGTTTTACTCTTGGAGCCCACGCTCCCCCCGTTGTAGCGGTGCCATGCCGTGTGAGCTGCGGCGCTCGCCCTGCTTGCCCCCCCCTCTGCCCGCCTATCCCGAGCCCGGGGGAGGTGGCCGAGCGCGCCTTGCGCACGGACGCCGCGGGTGGCACAGCTGATGAGCTGCTTGCCGTCGCGGTGTCATCGCCACAAATGGGGGAACGCCTCTGCAGGATTATTGACGATGTCTCATTCGGATGACTCCACTCCAAGAGACGTTGGAGTGTGTAGATTTCTCGTTGCATGCTTAGATGGATTTCCTACAAGGACAGAATGCCCTCCATTCACAATAAACCACTCCTGTAGCCATCATTGTTCATGTTGTAGATTAAAAGTCAAAAGTGATTTTCTGCTGAAATGAATATTGAGGCGGTGCTCGTTTCTAGTTTACAGGCCTGAGCCAGTGATGGAAATTCCACGTTCCTATGGCACGGGCAGGCATATCCATAAGAAGACCAATAATGATGATGATGATTACAGCTCATAACGGGCCTTTTTATAAAATCATCTCAAGGCGCTTAAGTGACACTCATTTGATCGACCCTGGAGCGATGATGGCCGAGCCAACCGCCAAACTAGAATTGAACTTGCGACCTTTCGATCGCAAGCCACTTGCGACCACCGCCGCGCCACCTGGCCCGGTTATTGTCGACTCGTCATTGCGGAGAGGTTTCGTTGGTTGGCGCAAGTGCTGTAAGCGAGCACCTATGAAGGCCTGCACGGCACACGAGGGGGTCGGTGGCCAGCACCACGCCCGGCCTCCTTTGTCTCCCCAGTAGCGATGTTTACACACCGCCCAGGACCGGTCCAGATAATTGTCACCGGCTTTGGCCGTGAGCGGGAATCGAACTCGGCCCACGGGTTTGTAGCGTAGCACGCTAACCTCTACACTTGGCACTCCCCACCATATACACGCAAGCACATGAACTCGCCCGCGCTCACTTATACGGCGTAAATTTCTCTAATGAAGATCGCGCCTCGTCAAACACCCGCTAATCAACGACATCCGCTAATAAACACAGCAGCGGTTCGCGTGGCCCCAACTCGGTGCCTCACGCTCGTAGCTGCCACGCGGGGTGTTGGGGTCATCACGAGGGTCGCGTGGCTGTGGCGTCGCGCTCACCGGCAGCACCAAAGCACTGTCCACCGTGCACCGTGCACCGCCCCCCCCTTTTTGCAGCGCTTTAGTAATACAGTCCCCAGTAAGTGTTCATGCAGAATGCTGCACACTGGAAATGTGCGCTCTGTCCCATAAATTATCCAAAAAATTATTATGCAATCACATTACACGCTTTTTCAAAGGTTAAAGCGTCTGAATTTAAAGCTGTTCTACCCGTAAGAGGTAATTTTGCAAGATCGGCATACGGGAATATATTACGCCACATTTCTGTATGGGTTTTGGGATTAAGGTCACCGTGTCTTGTATTTTTATTGAATATGACAAATCGACTGAATATTAATCGTAATCCAACATTTAAACACGAAGCATTTATGACCTTTGATGCCACGTAGCTTAATAGATTTGCGGTGTGCTCTACATGTTATCCTACATGCGAAACATAATCTCTGTCGGCGCGCGGTGCCGTTAATCCACGGCGCGTGCGTGGCGTTTTACTTGATGCCAACTGAGGCGGTGGGTCGCGGGAGTCGTTTGGTCCCCGCTTGTCTCACGCAGCAACCCCCCCGCCCGTCATGAGACCAATCGTGACCAGGCGTGCCAGCGTGCTCGGTGTGTGCGCCCAAACAACAGGCACAGCCTGTGGAAACCCGTGCGGGGAAACCGGCACACGCACGCGAGTGTGTGTGTGTGTAGAAGTGTGTGTGTGTGTAGAAGTGTGTGTGTGTGTGTAGAAGTGTGTGTGTGTGTGTAGAAGTGTGTGTGTGTGTGTAGAAGTGTGTGTGTGTGTGTAGAAGTGAGTGTGTAGAAGTGTGTGTGTGTGTGTAGAAGTGTGTGTGTGTAGAAGTGTGTGTGTGTGTAGAAGTGTGTGTGTGTAGAAGTGTGTGTGTGTGTGTGTAGAAGTGTGTGTGTGTGTGTGTAGAAGTGTGTGTGTGTAGAAGTGTGTGTGTGTGTAGAAGTGTGTGTGGGTAGAAGTGTGTGTGGGTAGAAGTGTGTGTGGGTAGAAGTGTGTGGTAGAAGGTGTGTGTGTGTAGAAGTGTGTGTGGGTAGAAGTGTGTGTGTGTGTGTAGAAGTGTGTGTGTGGTAGAAGTGTGTGTGTGTAGAAGTGTGTGTGTGGTAGAAGTGTGTGTGTGTGTGTAGAAGTGTGTGTGTGTGTAGAAGTGTGTGTGTGTGTAGAAGTGTGTGTGTGTGTGTGTAGAAGTGTGGTGTGTGTGTAGAAGTGTGTGTGTGTGTGTAGAAGTGTGTGTGTGTGGTGTAGAAGTGTGGTGTGTGTGTGTAGAAGTGTGTGTGTGTGTGTGTAGAAGTGTGTGTGTGTGTAGAAATGTGTGTTGTGTGTAGAAGGTGTGTGTGTAGAAGTGTGTGTGTGTGTGTGTAGAAGTGTGTGTGTGTGTGTAGAAGTGTGTGTGTGTGTGTGTAGAAGTGTGTGTGTGTGTGTGTAGAAGTGTGTGTGTGTGTAGAAGTGTGTGTGTGTAGAAGTGTGTGTGTGTAGAAGTGTGTGTGTGTGTGTAGAAGTGTGTGTGTGTGTGTGTAGAAGTGTGTGTGTGTGTGTAGAAGTGTGTGTGTGTGTGTAGAAGTGTGTGTGTGTGGTAGAAGTGTGTGTGGTGTGTAGAAGTGTGTGTGTGTGTAGAAGTGTGTGTGTGTGTGTGTAGAAGTGTGTGTGTGTGTGTAGAAGTGTGTGTGTGTGTAGAAGTGTGTGTGTGTGTGTAGAAGTGTGTGTGTGTAGAAGTGTGTGTGTGTGTAGAAGTGTGTGTGTGTGTAGAAGTGTGTGTGTAGAAGTGTGTGTGTGTAGAAGTGTGTGTGTGTGTAGAAGTGTGTGTGTGTAGAAGTGTGTGTGGGTAGAAGTGTGTGTGGGTAAAAGTGTGTGTGGGTAGAAGTGTGTGTGTAGAAGTGTGTGTGGGTAGAAGTGAGTGTGTAGAAGTGTGTGTGTGTAGAAGTGTGTGTGGGTAGAAGTGAGTGTGGTAGAAGTGTGTGTGGGTAGAAGTGTGTGTGGGTAGAAGTGTGTGTGTGTAGAAGTGTGTGTGGGTAGAAGTGAGTGTGTAGAAGTGTGTGTGTGTGTAGAAGTGTGTGTGGGTAGAAGTGAGTGTGTAGAAGTGTGTGTGTGTAGAAGTGTGTGTGTGTAGAAGTGTGTGTGTGTGTGTGTAGAAGTGTGTGTGTGTGTGTGTAGAAGTGTGTGTGGGTAGAAGTGTGTGTGGGTAGAAGTGTGTGTGGGTAGAAGTGTGTGTGGGTAGAAGTGTGTGTGGGTAAAAGTGTGTGTGTGTAGAAGTGTGTGTGGGTAGAAGTGAGTGTGTAGAAGTGTGTGTGTGTAGAAGTGTGTTTGGGTAGAAGTGTGTGTGGGTAGAAGTGTGTGTGTGTAGATGTGTGTGTGGGTAGAAGTGTGTGTGTGTAGAAGTGTTTGTGGGTAGAAGTGTGTGTGTGTAGAAGTGTGTGTGTGTGTGTGTAGAAGTGTGTGTGGGTAGAAGTGTGTGTGTGTAGAAGTGTGTGTGGGTAGAAGTGTGTGTGGGTAGAAGTGTGTGTGTGTAGAAGTGTGTGTGTGTGGGAAGTGGTAGTTTAGCGGTTAGCGCTACGCTGCGCTACGAACCCGGCGGCCCGAATTTGATTCCCGCTCACGGCCAACACCGGTGACGATTATCTGAACCGGTCCTGGGCCTCCCCTAGATCGACTCGGCATCAAATGAGTATCTGGTGCTATGTGTAAATATCGCCACTGGGGAGACAAAGGCGGCCGGGCGTGGTGCTGTCCACCCACCCCCTCGTGCGTCGTGCTGGCCTTCATAGTTACTCGCTAACGGCACTTGACTCAACGTTAAGGGGACACGGGGGGGTCTTTGTCACCTCGGTTGTCCTTATTCCTAATTGAGCTACGTGGTATCAACCACAAGATGACGAGTTGCATCGTTGTGGAGATTATCAAGTCAGTCACTTCACAGACATACGCCTCCTTGCCATATTTGTCTCACCGCATTTTTTTTTTACATCCCATCGGCCGCACGGCATTCCTTCAGGGAGTTGGCTGCTTTGTTTTAAAACCAATAGCCGCTGAAACAATTTCCTCAAACACGCTGGCTGACAAACACTCGCTCCCGACGAGTGCTGCTACACTCGTGTACGCGAGCCGTGACAGGACGCGTGCGCATGGACGGAGATGTGGACATCCTCAGCCAGTTGTTGAGGCACATTAACTTGATTGCTGTTCAAGGAGGCGGCTTTAGAGGATACGTGCGCACGACTATTTGAACAGAATTTCGATTTAAAGCTTTCGTGACTGCAGGGATTCATCTTCTTGGTTCTTTCGGTAAAGTCACGTAGAAGGGAAGTAATAAAATAATAAAAATAAAACATAATAAAACAATTCTCACGACGTTTCGGCCACAACGCAAGCAGCCGTCCTCAGGTGAAAACCAGGTCCGTCGAGGCGACAGAGTCTGAATGAGACTCTGTCGCCTCGACGGACCTGGTTTTCACCTGAGGACGGCTGCTTGCGTTGTGGCCGAAACGTCGTGAGAATTGTTTTATTATGTTTTATTTTTATTATTTGAACAGAGTTTGGCTTGCACGCAGAACACGCTTGGAGAAGCACACTTAGAACACACAACTCGCCAATTTGAACTTCAAAGCGGCAAGAGTTACTTTAAGACTTGTACCAAAGTCATGCATTTTGTTATGACTTGTAATTACCGAAGTGTATTCACCCGACGCCCATGGTAGCATAGCGTACTTCAAAGACATCGGAGTACAGAGTTCTTAAGGTTTCAGTTAATCACAAAGCTTTTTTTCACGAATGTCAATGTTATTCCCATTAATATAAATTAAAGATACATTGCAAACACTCGTTGGAAATGTTCGAATTGGAACGTGGGACTCGTAAGACGCGAGGTGATGCTCCGCACCGCTGACGAAGGCCGTCGAAGACACGCGGCATCGTGGTGATGGTGGGCATCCTGGGCCTTGTGATTTCGATGTGGCCAGCGTGTGGAATACTACATGACACAAGATGCCAGGTTGCCCAGACTCTTGGCTTGGGCGGATAACAAATTGCCGCGTACGGATCGCGTCTCGGTCTAGCGAGATTGGAGCCTCGCTTTGTCGGTTACAAACAGCACGCAGTAAACATCGCGTGGTCATCACATGCGAAGGTTGCCGTGTTTACTTTGCGTGCTGGCACGCAGTCTATCGTCGATCGTTCATCAATGTGATGAAGGCACAGAATTTAATTTTTATCATGGGACCTTTTTTTCCAGTATCAAAGTATGACAAATAAGACGAGGTTTTACCCATTCAGGAGGTGTTCAGATGTTCAAAGACCAAATAGAAACTTGATGCAAGGAATCAAGTCTGCATTAAACACACGTACTTGTGGTGAACATGCAAACAAACATGCTCTGATCATAATTTATGGGCATTGCCTTTGAAACTGATTGGCCTACACCAGAGACAGCCTCTTTAAGGCCCAGTCTCACCACCAGTGTCAGACCAGAGAACACTAAAAGGCGATCAGCTCTAGATGCTCTGATAGTGGCATTGTCTTTGTGCTGTTCGCCTTGTGGCGTTGTTCTCTGCTCTGACACTGGTGGTGAGACTGGGCCCTAAAGAGGCTGTCTCTGGTGTAGCCCAATCAGTTTCAAAGGCAATGCCCATATATTATTATCAGAGCATGTTTGATTGCATGTTCACCACAAGTACGTGTGGTTAATGCAGACTTGAATCCTTGAAAAAGGTTTCCATTTGGTGTTTGAACATCTTAACACCTCCTGTGTTATTGCCAGAAAGGGTAAAACCTCTTGTTATTTTTCACACGCATTTTTTGATAACAAAAAAAAACCAAACACATTTGTGCAGTAGGATTATGCTCGCGTAACAGGTATTGTCTATTATACAATAGCATTATCACCCCGACTGAATGGTAATGCACTGGAAACTTACTTTACAATGTAGGTCTTGTTGCTGGTGTCTTGTGTGTTTGAAGGAGTTATATTTAATTTTCACCCCTGCGGTTCGCAAATATTTGAGCTGGGTTGCTTGTGACCCGTTCATTATAGGTTGAATACCCCCCCCTCCCCCAGTCCACATATCATATCGTCACACATCTACCCAGCCTATCATCACATTCATCATCATCACCTCATCCGCCTCCACGTATGGTTCATTCCAGGAGGTGCCCTCTCCATTATTAGAGGGAAAGTATGAAGTGAATGAGTGAATGAGTGAATGAGTGAGTGTTTCATGCCAGCATTCTCGGCCCAATCACAACCTTTCCCAATTAATGAATGTGGCGGGGGTCCATTGCGTGGGGCTAGGCATAATTAATTAAAACTTTAAACTATTTTTATTTTACCAGGTAAGGCCTACTGAACTATGCAGCTCTTTTTTTCAGAAGTGACCTGGTGACAAATGACAGCTCGGAGAAGTGGCCTATCGTGTGGATATTTATAGCAGTCAAATTAAATGCTCTAAACGCGTGATGTTGATTCTACATAACGAGGGGAAAACCGGAGGACCCGGAGAAAAGTCCACGCGATCACGGGGCGTACACACAAACTTAAAATACAGAGCAAGCGTTAGGGTCGTGATCAAATCCACAACATCCTGTATACCAGGTGAGGTAGTTAACATCTTGCCACCGAATGAATGAATCTGGAGGGTGGGCGGGGCTTTGGCATAATTCATGAATGGGGAGTGGTGGGGGGGGTGGGTGAGCAGCAGCAGGGGCTGAGCAGCTGTGGCAGCGCAGAGGCTCCAGTTCATCGGCCCTTCATGCCATGCCTACTCTACATGAGCAAAGAGGCCATTGCCGTTGATCTCCTGTTCACGGCTCTGAGCCCTCGGTGGAAATTCCACATCCCTATGGTAAGGATGAGTCTGTCCTTAGGACAACCCCTCTTGACTTCACCACAAAAGTGGCACCAATACTTTCTCCCCGAGAGGGACGACGGGCCGAGTGAACCCCCGACCAGGGTCTGAACTCTCGACTCTCCGCCTGCGAGCCGCTCGCTTTACCGCGGAGCCACCCGGCTGGTTTCCATGCCTACGCTGCCGCCCAACTGTGTGGTGGTGGTGGTGTCGTGGGAAAACCACTCCGAGAATATCCAGGCTGACTGTGTTGACCTCTTCCATCGCACAAAGCTGACACCGCCAATATGCTCGGCCTCGACATGAGAAATGTCAGGACCCAACAGACCAAGGGCGAGGTGCTCCACACTGTGTTCCACACTCTGCTCCACGCTCTGCTCCACGCTCTGCCCCACGCTCTGCTCCATGCTCTGCTCCACACTGTGTTCCACGCTCTGCTCCACGCTCTGCTCCATGCTCTGCTCCATGCTCTGCTCCACACTGTGTTCCACGCTCTGCTCCACGCTCTGCCCCACGCTCTGCTCCACACTGTGTTCCACGCTCTGCCCCACGCTCTGCTCCACGCTGCTCCACGCTCTGCTCCACGCTCTGCTCCACGCTCTGCTCCACGCTCTGCTTCACGCTCTGCTTCACGCTCTGCTCCACGCTCTGCTCCATGCTCTGCTCCACACTGTGTTCCACGCTCTGCTCCACGCTCTGCTCCATGCTCTGCTCCACGCTCTGCTCCACGCTCTGCTCCACGCTCTGCTCCACGCTCTGCCCCACGCTCTGCTCCACGCTCTGCTCCACGCTCTGCTCCACACTGTGTTCCACGCTCTGCTCCACGCTCTGCTCCACGCTCTGCTCCACGCTCTGCTCCACACTGTGTTCCACGCTCTGCCCCACGCTCTGCTCCACGCTCTGCTCCACGCTCTGCCCCACGCTCTGCCCCACGTTCTGCCCCACGCTCTGCCCCACGCTCTGCCCCACGCTCTGCTCCACGCTCTGCCCCACGCTCTGCTCCATGCTCTGCTCCACGCTCTGCTCCACGCTCTGCCCCACGCTCTGCTCCACGCTCTGCTCCACGCTCTGCTCCACGCTCTGCCCCACGCTCTGCCCCACGTTCTGCCCCATGCTCTGCCCCACGCTCTGCCCCACGCTCTGCCCCACGCTCTGCTCCACGCTCTGCCCCACGCTCTGCTCCACACTGTGTTCCACGCTCTGCCCCACGCTCTGCCCCACGCTCTGCTCCACACTGTGTTCCACGCTCTGCTCCACGCTCTGCCCCACGCTCTGCCCCACGCTCTGCTCCACGCTCTGCTCCACACTGTGTTCCACGCTCTGCCCCACGCTCTGCTCCACGCTCTGTGTCTCGGTGTGTTCGGTGGGTGGGCATGACGTGGGTGTGCCCGGTGTTTACACCGAGGCTTTCGTGACTGATGTTATGATTCAGTGTCAAATGTTATTATTATTTCCTCGTGATGTCACTAAAGTATTATTAATCCACTTATGTTAGTAAATTTTCATATTACTGGTCAGATATTATAATTATTTCCTCCAGATTATTACTAAAATAAAAGTGTATTAAAACACGTTAGTGATATCATGAGCAGGGCCACCCTGGAAAAAGTTTAGACGTAAATTATTGTTATTATTTTAAGGGCATTGAAGTATTCTCAAAAAATAACATAAGTTATGTTTTACAATTGTGGTTTCATTCCAGAAGTGATAATTTAAAACTAAATTTGTTTTATCCTAAAGGAAGCCACCTGCAAATGACTGTAGGCTGCCACCACTCCCATGACTCCCAGAAGGCCGCCTTGGCCAATGGGACGTGAGGAAAATGCCGTCGCATGGAGGGACACAATTGGGATTTCTCCATGTATCATCTTGTCTTTTGTTCTTCTCTGTACACTCTCTGTATACTCTCTGTATATTCTCTGTATACTTTCTGTGTACTTCTCTGTATATTCTCCCCCACCTTCTCCGTGTGTGATTGCGCTCGCCAGCGGACACCGTTCCGTCACGTGACCCCAGCGGAGTGCCAAGTTAGCGCCGTTCAGACACGCGGATCGCTTCTCAAGCGGCACAATCCGCCGTGAGCTGTGGCCCGGACCACGGCGCGGTGAGAGGTGAAGGTGAGCACCGGCCGGTCCTCCGTGATGGCTTTGTTGAAGCCTTTTGCCTCGAATTGGATGAGAAGGGGGTGGAGGGCGGCTTTGGTTGAAACCCTTCGTGGATTGGGGAGGGAATTCAGACTGCAGTTCCCGGCAAACTGCGTGACCCCGTGCCACATCCGTCAGATTCCGTTTAGTAGCTTGAAGGAGATTTAGGTAGTTAGCGTCTTGGTCCCAGTTGCTGTTGGTGTGCATCTGCCATACGCAGTTGGAAGGTGGGGAATTTGAATCCCAAGTTGGGGTTTGACTGAGCCCATCGCCCCCCCTCCCTAAGGTTGATAAAATTATTACCACTTTGTGGGAAGCGAGTAGTTGTCCTAGGGATACTGCCTCCAACATGGGACTGTGGAATTTCCAGCATTGGCTCCTGCCAATGGAAACAAATGCTGTCTAACTGCTGCGTTGATCAGGAAGAAACTTTGACCTGCTATTATTGCAAAAATTGAATCTGCGATTATTACAACAATAATCATTCAACAATTAAACCATGAAAGTTTCACCTGGGCAGTCCCTTGAGATGAAACACCTCATTTGCAAAGGGTACATAGCGAACATATAATTGCAGGTATGTTACATTTGAAATGCATCGCCTACACTGTTTGGATTTATACAATGAATATCACACCCGGTCACACATGTCAACATACAAATAGATCAACGGCGCACGCCGCCGTCGCTTGACGTAAAATGTCCCCTCGCCGTGAGAGTCACGGTCGCCGTGTGAGGGAGTTCTAACGAAGGACGTGAACGCGTCGGGGCTGGCGGGACACCGCCACCGTGAGCCCGGGAGAGCGTGGCGTGCCCACGCAGCGGCTGTTGTGTCGGGAGCGGCCCCTGCCGCTGGGCTTGGGCCAACCCTGCCTGGACGTAGGCCCGGCCCACTTGGCCCACCGTCCTTGTGAATCGGCTGTGCCGCTCGCACCGCGGGCAAATGTTGGTTTTGGACCGCGGGCACACTTGGACGCATCCTCCAGCCCGCAGCGATCGGTCGTACCCAGCGGTGTCCACCCGCCGGCACACGGCGCCACGGCAGCCGACACGACAACCACCGGCACTTTACACGGCGGCTCCCTTTCCTGTACCGCGATGCTTCTCCAGAGGGGGACGACGTGAAAGAAACCGCGTGGCTGCTGCTGCTCCCGGTTTGTTCACCTCGGCTGGGGAGCGCCGTGGTGGCTGTTTGGCTGTGGGGACGGCAGCTGACGTGAAAACACGATAGACTGTGAATGTCGCTTTCACTCCGGGGGCCGTGCAGAGATGGCGGCAGGGTGGTGACTCGCAGCAAGAAGGGCCCTGGGGTAGATTCCCGACTTGGGTGCCTTGGTGTGTGAAGTTTAGACGTTCTCCCGTGTTCTGTATGGGGTTCTGCTGGCTTCTCCCGTAGCTAAAATATATCTTTTTTAAATAAAAATCCATAAAGCATAACTGGTATTGGGCCACACATCGCCATTGCTGACAAAATACCTCCCAATGACTCACTTGGGATCACACAGCAGCAGCAGCAGCAGCAATAACATCGCACCCTACCAGGAACACTTCTGCAAGGAAACTTGAGACTCGGGTGAGACACCGCTGGGCAAACGAGCGGAATAATAAACTAACAGATGGGGAGGTACAGTGAGAGAATGCCGCAGCAAAGGCAGTACGTGGAGCAGTGCCGCGTTGTTGCTATGGAGACCGGCTACACAATGTACGCCAATTAGAGTAATCTTAATGCTTAATTTACATAATTAGCGTGCTACGAGGCACACTTCACGGGCGTGAATATCCCGCAGCCTGTGCAGCTCGTTGATTTGCGAAACCTTGCCATGTTCATTATTGTACCTTAATATTACGTGGCATATTCTTTGGGTCTTTCGGTAAAGTCATGTAGATAGGTTCAAATTAATAAAGATAATCAATATAAAATTATCGTGTTAATGTGAGAGATTGGTGTGTTAATGTGAGAGATTGACGTGTTAATGTGAGAGATTGGCGTGTTAATGTGAGAGATTAGCTTGTTAATGTGAGAGATTGACGTGTTAATGTGAGAGATTGGCGTGTTAATGTGAGAGATTGACGTGTTAAGGTGAGAGATTAGTGTGTTAATGTGAGAGATTGACGTGTTAATGTGAGAGACTAGCGTGTTAATGTGAGAGATTAGCATGTTAATGTGAGAGATGAGCGTGTTAATGTGAGAGATTGACGTGTTAATGTGAGAGATTGGCGTGTTAATGTGAGAGATTGGTGTGTTAATGTGAGAGATTGACGTGTTAATGTGAGAGATGAGCGTGTTAATGTGAGAGATTGGTGTGTTAATGTGAGAGATTGGCGTGTTAATGTGAGAGATTGGTGTGTTAATGTGAGAGATTGGCGTGTTAATGTGAGAGATTGACGTGTTAATGTGAGAGATTGACGTGTTAATGTGAGAGATTGGCGTGTTAATGTGAGGGATTGGCGTGTTAATGTGAGAGATTGACGTGTTAATGTGAGAGATGAGCGTGTTAATGTGAGAGATTGGTGTGTTAATGTGAGAGATTGGCGTGTTAATGTGAGAGATTGGTGTGTTAATGTGAGAGATTGGCGTGTTAATGTGAGAGATTGACGTGTTAATGTGAGAGATTGACGTGTTAATGTGAGAGATTGGTGTGTTAATGTGAGAGATTGGCGTGTTAATGTGAGAGATTAGCGTGTTAATGTGAGAGATTAGTGTGTTAATGTGAGAGATTGACGTGTTAATGTGAGAGATTAGCGTGTTAATGTGAGAGATTGACGTGTTAATGTGAGAGATTAGCGTGTTAATGTAAGAGATTGACGTGTTAATGTGAGAGATTGGCGTGTTAATGTGAGAAATTGGCGTGTTAATGTGAGAGATTGGTGTGTTAATGTGAGAGATTGACGTGTTAATGTGAGAGATTGGCGTGTTAATGTGAGAGATTGGCGTGTTAATGTGAGAGATTGGCGTGTTAATGTGAGAGATTGGCGTGTTAATGTGAGAGATTGGTGTGTTAATGTGAGAGATTAGCGTGTTAATGTGAGAGATTAGTGTGTTAATGTGAGAGATTGGTGTGTTAATGTGAGAGATTGGCATGTTAATGTGAGAGATTGGCGTGTTAATGTGAGAGATTGGCGTGTTAATGTGAGAGATTGGCGTGTTAATGTGAGAGATTGGCGTGTTAATGTGAGAGATTGGCGTGTTAATGTGAGAGATTGGTGTGTTAATGTGAGATTAGCGTGTTAATGTGAGAGATTAGCGTGTTAATGTGAGAGATTAGTGTGTTAATGTGAGAGATTGGTGTGTTAATGTGAGAGATTGGCGTGTTAATGTGAGAGATTGGTGTGTTAATGTGAGAGATTGGTGTGTTAATGTGAGAGATGAGCGTGTTAACGTGAGAGATTGGCGTGTTAACGTGAGAGATTGGTGTGTTAATGTGAGAGATTGGTGTGTTAATGTGAGAGATTGGCGTGTTAATGTGAGAGATTAGTATGTTAATGTGAGAGATTGGTGTGTTAATGTGAGAGATTGGTGTGTTAATGTGAGAGATTGGCGTGTTAATGTGAGAGATTGGCGTGTTAACGTGAGAGATTGGCGTGTTAACGTGAGAGATTGGCGTGTTAACGTGAGAGATTAGCGCGTTAATGTGCGAGATTGGCGTGTTAATGTGAGAGATTGGCGTGTTAACGTGAGAGATTGACGTGTTAATGTGAGAGATTGGCGTGTTAATGTGAGAGATTGGTGTGTTAATGTGAGAGATTGGTGTGTTAATGTGAGAGATTGGCGTGTTAACGTGAGAGATTGGCGTGTTAACGTGAGAGATTGGCGTGTTAACGTGAGAGGTTGGCGTGTTAACGTGAGAGGTTGGCGTGTTAATGTGAGAGATTGGCGTGTTAATGTGAGAGATTGGCGTGTTAATGTGAGAGATTGGCGTGTTAATGTGAGAGATTGGCGTGTTAATGTGAGAGATTGGCGTGTTAATGTGAGAGATTGGCGTGTTAATGTGAGAGATTGGTGTGTTAATGTGAGAGATTGGCGTGTTAATGTGAGAGATTGGCGTGTTAATGTGAGAGATTAGCGTGTTAATGTGAGATATTAGTGTGTTAATGTGAGAGATTGGCGTGTTAATGTGAGAGATCGGCGTGTTAATGTGAGAGATGAGCGTGTTAATGTGAGAGATTGGTGTGTTAATGTGAGAGATTGACATGTTAATGTGAGAGATTGGCGTGTTAATGTGAGAGATTGGCGTGTTAATGTGAGAGATTGGCGTGTTAATGTGAGAGATTGGCGTGTTAATGTGAGAGATTGGCGTGTTAATGTGAGAGATTGGCGTGTTAATGTGAGAGATTGGCGTGTTAATGTGAGAGATTGACATGTTAATGTGAGATTGGCGTGTTAATGTGGGACATTAGTGTGTTAATGTGAGAGATTAGCGTGTTAATGTGAGAGATTGGCGTGTTAATGTGGGAGATTGGCGTGTTAATGTGGGAGATTAGCGTGTTAATGTGGGAGATTGGCGTGTTAATGTGAGAGATTGATGTGTTAATGTGAGAGATTAGCGTGTTAATGTGAGAGATTGGTGTGTTAATGTGAGAGATTGGCGTGTTAATGTGAGAGATTGGCGTGTTAATGTGGGAGATTGGCGTGTTAATGTGAGAGATTAGTGTGTTAATGTGGGAGATTGGCGTGTTAATGTGAGAGATTGACGTGTTAATGTGAGAGATTAGCGTGTTAATGTGAGAGATTGACGTGTTAATGTGAGAGATTAGCGTGTTAATGTGAGAGATTGGCGTGTTAATGTGAGAGATTGACATGTTAATGTGAGAGATTAGCGTGTTAATGTGAGAGATTGACGTGTTAATGTGAGAGATTAGCGTGTTAATGTGAGAGATTGGCGTGTTAGTGTGAGATTGGCGTGTTAATGTGGGAGATTAGTGTGTTGATGTGAGAGATTAGCGTGTTAATGTGAGAGATTGGCGTGTTAATG